CAATTAAATGAATATATAAAAGATGAAGTGAAGAAAAATAAGATTAAATTTTAATAACTTTTAAATTATTTGATGAAATAAAATAAAAGTTTCAATGCGAATGTCATGGCGAAGTTTTTCTTCATTTCATCAAGTTATTTTCGTGACAAAGGTCTTTACTCAAGTTCTAAGTGGAGAAAAAAAAAAATCTGGCACGCACTCCCTAGCAGTTTATTGAGCAATGAAAGTGTTTTATCGTTGAAAACAAAGAAGGCTATAAACTTACGTGTTCTCTTATCATTAGATGATTACAGATAAGAGATTGTAATAAGTCTTTGACCGCATAACGATGCGTGACACAGAGTTGCAAAAAATAATTTATTCAAGGTAATAAATCACTTTGAAGAGGCGTAAAATCGTAAGAATTTATACAGCCTCATATGTTTTTGATGTTAGCACGAATGTCTAGAGATTGAAATTGAAAATACGTTGGATATATATTGGACTTTGAATTGTAAGGGTGAGCTGGTTCTATCAGAGAAAGCATTCATATTAATCCTCCCTTCAAATACTCGCGTTTCCTACCGGATATGAATGTCTAGACGTCTGACCAAATACATATTGTCACTACTTTTCTCGTCGATTTCAAACTTTACATTGATTTTTTTCTCTCGAGTTTATAGATGAAGTGCTTTAACACTTTCTGTTAATTTCCATTAGCACCTATTCAATAGCTCTGAAATTGATAGGCTCTCTGGATAATATTTTCATTTAATTCTTTTACAAGACTAGAAATCTATAATAAAGTTGAATTTTTGTGATGGAAATGAATTCACTTGTTTCATTTATTTTCTTTTAAAATGAATCAATTAATGTTTGACAATTTTATCTTCAAAGAATGATAGTTGAAAATAATTTTATAATTTTCAATGAGGATATTTATTAGAAAATGAACAAATTTATTAAATATTACTTAAAGTATATTATTGTAAATATATAAATTTTTTACTATTCTCTACATGTCTATCTGCAAGCTCTACTGAATTTGACACATTTCAGATTTTTTTTTCAAACTTCACTAATTGATATAAGTTAAAATATTATTTTTGAAATATCAATTGTTTTTGACAATTTTTTTACAAAATATTTCGATCGAATAAATAACAATAAGTATTTAAACATGTCACAGAATATTATTAATCTATTTTTAATAGGCTTTGTTTATTGTTTAAATTCATTGGAAAAGATTTATTCACTGAATGTATCGATTAATTTCTATTAATTTAAATAACAATAAATTATGCATAATAGATTCAAGCTTTTATCATCAGATTTCATGAAAGCCTGTGTCATGTACACTCGTAGATATTATCCATAATAATTGAGATATTAATTAATAATAATGATATAAAAATTAGTCTTTTTTCAACAAATAATTTTATTATTCATCTTCATTATGTATTTATCAATATCATATTCCCTCATTTGGTTTGACCATTTATTATTTATGAAGTCTATTATCTATTAAACTATTTTAAATAATAAATAAAAATTATTTTTAATCATCAAAAATAAATTGCTAATAAATCTTGTTGTTGAAAGTCTTCCCAAGTGACTAGAGTTGTTGAAAATGATCAAAATATTTGATTGCTTGTTTAAGATAGATGCACGGCAGTACAAAATTCAATTAGATAAGAAGTAAAATTTCACATTCCAAGGTTACAACATCTGTAATTCTCTTAGATACAAGTTTACGAGGCAAGCTCATCTTAAAATAAATTCGCCAGAGGCCAATCACTCCCTACTGGTCCGCTTACTCTGTCGTGAAGAATGAAATAAACTCCTGAGAGTATAAGAGAAACTCTCGAATGTCTATTTCTGTGTATCTCTATCTCTTGCCTTTTTTTATTTCGTTTTCTATGCGAATACTCACATGAAAAAGTATACTGTATGATTGCATGTGGATAAAATACAGGAAAAGAAGTAAAGGAAGAAACAAGAGAAAAGATGAGAGCTTGAAAAAAGGATGAAAAGGAAAATAAACCGAAGAAACAAACAAGGGCGAAACGCACTAGGGATTCCGAAAGGAAAAAAAAAACATCAGCTTTGTATTCTTAAGATGTCAAAGAATAAAACTTACAGACAAACTTGAAAATTTTAGAAGATTTCTTTTAGAAATTATTTGAATTCCAAAAATTAATTTAATCATCATCGAAATTTTATTATTAATTAAAATAAAAATTTTTTTTATTGAAAATAAGTATAAAGAGATTATAAAAAAAAACAACAATGATCAATAATAATTGTTAAGTAATTTGTGAGGAGTAATTAAATTTTTGACATCAAAGGTAGTGAGTTTCTTGAGCTTTGATTATTATTAACTGAGTCAACGAAAGACAGAAAAATTTTCAAAAACGTATTTCGAAGAGAACATGTACAAAAATTTAAATGCTGAACTTATTTTTTATTTATTTTTTTTTCTTATAATTTCATTTCACAGACACTTTTGAAGTTTACTAAAAATTAAGAAATCCCTTTTCCATTTTTTTTTTCTGGTAAAAAAGATTGCAAATCTCCAGTTGAATGCGTAAGCTTTGACAAAATTCTTTACAACGTGAAATTTTCACAATGAAATATTTTTCATTCAAAGTGATAATTTAATGAGAGAATTTTATTACATTTGAGGATGTATTTATTATACAACAGTATCAAAGAATTTGTCTCTTCGCAATTTTAATAAAAAACGGATTAACAAATCTAGATTACCATGACAACATATATATATATATATATATATATATATATATATACTTGAAAGAACTTGATAATCTATCATCTGAGCTGTAAACATTCTAGAAATATTTCTTAAAATCTCTTTGACTCTGTCAGTTCAATAACACTAGGTAAAAATGAAAGAGGAATTGAAGACTAATTAGGAAATACTTTAATATGATATGAAAAAGTGTGATCAGGTCCATACTTGGATAACTATTTAAATTGGGCCCAAGGGGTCTTGATAGTCTACTTAGTTTTTTAGACTTTTTGCTTGATATGGGACTAATCAAATACCAAGTTCAAGATAGGAAGAAACAATGAGAACAATAAGACCAGAACCATTTAGTTATTATTTATATAACAGCAATGAGGTAGCAATTGATACATTACAATTCTTTCTTGTGAAAAAATGAATCAAAACTTAGAAGAATGAATTACAAAGTATCCTAATTAAATAATTATTTACCCTGAAAACAATTTCTAGTCCTAGGAACAATACTGTGTCCCTTAAATCAACTATCTAAGCTTTAATATCCAAGGTATTGCTGCTATAGCAATATTTTATTTGCTTTACGGTTAATATAAGAAAGTTGTGGCAGCTATCTAGATAGTTTTAATAGCTATCCAAATAATTAATATAAATCTAAGGATTGCTGTGACAGCAATCTATTACAGTTATACTTTGGATCAGCTCCTATACCAATATTTTTTTCAGTGTAGAAGTTATAGGATAATTGGATATATTATCATATTGAAATGCTACCTGGGAAGTAGAAAATATTTAAAACAGGCTTTTACAGTGGGTCCATCATTGGCTACTATAGTCATCATTGGCCCAGTTGTGGAAAATGACTGAGCCATGCCTAGATGATAACACCACTTCAGCACTCTTTACTTGGACTCTTGACAACTCTAGTTTAGAGTCAAATAGAGGTTATTCTGTTGTTGAGGGTGTGAATGTTGGGAGAAATGTTGGTTTTTATTTACAAAATAAAACTTCCAAAAGAATGTGATGGTTGTGAGAGTAAATAAACAAAAACTAGCTTGAAGTGAATTATAATTTCTTGGCTAGTGTTTTGAATACCACTGTATTTTCGTACTGGAGTGTACAACATATTTATCTCTAGATCTCTATGCAATATTCTTGTCTCCTTATTCTCATCTAGTACACTAACAGTAAGATAGGTATGTGGATGAAAAGTGTGTAGAGTGCAAGAGAGTGCAAACCAGCAATAGCAAACTTGAGCCTACACGAAAATGCTTTCCCTACATTCCGTCGACCCTCATTTTGTCATTAGCGTCAGTTTACTGTCTCTCTCTCTCCTCTACTCTCTCTCTCTCTCTCTCTCTCTCTCTCCTCTCTCTCTCTCTCTCTCTCTCTCTCTCTCTTTCTTTTTGGGTAATACATAAATTACACGTTGTAGCCTACTTATTTTTATTTTCTTCATTTTCTTCTTTTTCGTCTTTCCTAGGCTTCTAGTGTGTACTTCACTTCACCTCCTTGCCCTTCTTTTTTCTTTTCATATTTTAAGCTTTTTGGGTCGACGATTAGTAAAGACTCTTTACAAAACTTTCAAGTGTCGCTTCATAGCTTTTTAAGGTCTCAACAATTACGAAATTTACTTCATAATAAAAGTTCATTTGTTGAATTATTTTATTATTTTAACGAATCATTTTTGTAAGTGTCATTTAGTTTATTTTTTTTTTATGTTTGTCTCGTACTAACATATTCTTTAATTTAAATAAATATTCAATAAATTTATTATTAAAAATTTTTTTCTCGACAATAAACCAATAAAACAATTAATCGTTGTTACATTAAGTATTAAGAGTTTTTTTCAAAAATGTTCAATTGACTGGCCATGACCTCGAAATTTTTTTTTACCAAGTAGAATAAGTACACTAATAGGCAGACAAGGTGCATTTATTGATGAACAAAAAAAATAATTTAACACATGAGACATTAATTAATTGATTATTTTAAAAAATTTCTTTACAATTTAAGAATTATAAGTATTTAAATATTTTATTAAATCCACATTTAAATATTTTTTTTGTTTCTTAAAATTTAGTAACAAAATAAAAGTAAATTATATTATATTCTATATGATAAGTATTGATTAACTAAACAATTCACTCTTTAATACAAACTACATTCCAATCGTTAATAAATGATGATGATTATCTTATTCTTCCCCTTACTAAATTTTTTCCTCGATTTTTCAAAAGAGTCATTTTTCTTACAGACTGATTAGACTCAATGAAAGCAAATAAACATAATGAAAAAATCATCAGGGATGTCAAAAGTACGTCCAAAGACGGAAGTATCAAGCTGCGTAAGTCGTCGTCGGCGTCGTCGTATTAGTAGAAGTAATGATGCACAGACTGGCGCCTCCATGATCGCCTGTCAGTGATTGCTCGAGGGGAAAAGACGAAAGTAAATAACAGGGGACGTTAGAGAAAAGGACGAAGACCACGACGGAGACGAGAGGGTGGAAGTGGGCCAGAAGAAGGGTGAAAGGCTCACGCAGAAAATCGTCAAGCGATGAGCGATTTACAGGCCACCCTCGAGTTCTCCCTCGAGCTTTGCAAGTTCTACAATGTTGATCTCTTTCAACGCGGGTAAATATTTTATCGGAAACTTAATATATTTTTTTATTCTTTCTACTTTTTTTTTTTATCTTATACATTTTTTATTCACAATAAGAGAGAGAAAATTTTAACTAATAAAATGCAGATAGAGTAAAGCTATTTACAAACGAACGTTCATTTAAAATCAATATGAAAAGTAGTTTCATTTAATATTATTTGTAAATTTTATTATGGTCCAACTTATTATAACAGGAAGTTACTAAAATATTTAATTATTTACATTTTTAATAATCCTTTGTTTGTAAAAGAGCTCTACTTTAAGAGGTATTCATTAATGTTGTTATATTTTTCAAGGTTCTATCAAATTCGTACAGCCCTTAGGGTATCTCCGAAACTGCCTATTAAAGTGGAAGTAGACCAACTTCGTAATCGTGAGTTAACTTTTTTTTTTATTCAATTTTATTTATTTATTTTTACATTGAAAAAAAAAACAATTATTAATAATCATTTCTTTTTTTTAAAGAGGATTTTTTTTAAAATGTGATTTGAAGATAAAATGTCTAGAAATCTTTTAAAAATCTTCAAAATGATGTAATAATTATTTTTAAAAAAAAGTTTAGATCAACGAATAATTTATAAGAGTGGAAGAAAATTTTCTTGCATGAAAAAATTTATTTCCTAGCATCAAATATTTTATAACGTGGAGGAATATATTTGACTTTTTTACTCTAAAAAATATCCAAATAAAAATATTTGTATGTAAATGAATATTGATGTATATCAAATTTTTGTCAACGATACTGGAAAAAAATAACTAAGCAGTAAGATTTCAATTGAAAATTTACCTTCTTCCTTATATTACAAAATAGCTTACGGGCGATTGGATCCCAAAGTATACGAAACGACGTGGTTTCAGAATAAATTGAAAAGCCAATTTTCTATGTGGAAAAAATGTTTTTTTTATTTATTTAGAAGCAGTTTTCTGAATCAAAATCCTAATTCAATAAGTAATAATTCAATACAAGTCTATCAAAAAGGATATTTCAAATAAAACTAATAACATCTTTGGATTTGATTCAATTGAATCCAACTATTAAGCAGTGAACCTACGAAACAGGTCATATATTGAGAGCTCCATTCTACCTAAACTGATTAAAAGTCATCAACAGTACAATAATTATTTCTTAATAAGCTTTAGTAAACTAAAAACATCTATACCAAATTATTTTAACAAATAAATATTTATTTATTATTTTAAAATCAGTTTCATCCAATTCAACAATAAATAAAGTTAAATCTCTCTAAAATAACTATTTTATTAAATTAAAATAACTGGTAAATTTTCATGTAACAATAGACCCAGCTCGACATCTCGTTTATTGATGCTAAGCTTTGTTTTATTTGAAAATAAATAAATTTGAATGTTAAACAGAATAATTTTATGACTATGCAAGTATTGTGCAAATAGTACCAACAATTTAGTGTATATACATATAAGTAAAGGGGTAAATGAGGATATTTATTAATAAGAAAAATATGAATTGTTATTTCAAGCAGACAAGCGTTCATTAGACAACATGGAAGCACCAGGAACAAGCAAACGCTTTCAAATCCTCTACAGAAATGAAGAGGTAACTTTAGGAACTTCGGTCCTCTTTCGTGCTCACGTACTTGTACATAGTCACAAGATCGAAGAAGCGCTTTCCCGAACTCACTTCAATCTTGGAGTCGAGCTCTGGTTCAGCGAACCCACCCAACCAGGAAATATGGCTTGTGTATCATCTAGGTAAGTTTTCTTAGAGAACAATATTTTTTTCTCTAAATTTGTAACCCACATTTCAACTTTAAGTAAAGAGATACATTGTACAGACTTAGATTATAGTATCTTATTTCTTTTATATATATTTCTTTTTTTTTTTTTTGCAATGTTTTTGAAATCTTTATTTATAAGTAAAGTACGTCTTTGTTGTGATGGTAGCAAACGATGATATATGTCGTCCACAGTATAACAATAATAGCATCAACTTTATTTTTTATATCATGATGATATAATAGTAGAATTTAATCAATAAAAACTACTTGATTGTTTTGAACTGATTTTTTTAAAAGTAATCCCATCATCAATTGTTAAGCTTCAATTTTTATTATGAATTATTTTAGTATTTTTAAACCAACATATTTTTTCATTTATTTTATATCAATCATCACAAATAAAAAAATTCTTTCAATTCATCTTTACACATATCCTGAATTGTTTTCAATTTTTGAGCAATGAATGAAAAATTTATTGAATAAAATAAAAACCCATGCAACACCAAACTGTATGAATTTGTCTTTTCATCATTTTATCTTTGTAGTTCCAGTTGTTATAAATATACTTAAGCGCTTTACTTTTATTGCAAAAAACTTTGTATGATTGATTGCTGGTGTTGTTTATCATCGCTCTATTTCTTTTGTAGCTTAAAAAGTCTGTATGATGGGAACTGTGTCGTCTAATTCTCCAAGTGTAAATGAACTTTTTTTAGAACACAATACAAACATCTTGAAAGTTGAAATTGCAAGAGCTTTTAATTGGACCAGTTTTACCTCTTGTTTTATTTTTTTTATCTTTTTTAGATTATTCTTTTTATGTAGAACTCTTGAAAAAATTCAAAACTTTGTACAAATAACGAGTGTCTAATGAAAGAATTATTTGTAGAGCATTGCAGTTAAATTTTGTACCAACTAAGGGGCTTCACTATCACTTACCAGTACTTTTTGACTACTTCCACCTCGCAGCAGTGTCCATAACGATCCATGCCTGTCTTGTAGCTCTTCATCAACCATTCGTAAAGTTAGTATTTTGTATAGATCATTATCTCTATATATAATTCATCGTCTCAAAAATAAGTCAATTGAGTTTCTTTCTATTTTCTGAATAAGTAAAAAGATTGAATAAATAATCCAAATTGAATAGAAATATTATATGTTATTCTTCATACTACTTAATATCTTACTGATGATCTAAAACATCAAGTAGCTTAACTTATTACTTTTAATGAATTAATTTTTTCTGAATAATTAAATTGTTCTCAACATTTAATTAAAAATATTTTAATGTTATTCAGAAAAAGTATTCTTCACTACGTCCAAAGCTGTGCTCCAAGAAGTGGAAAACCATGGCTTCAGTTCAAACAACCACCTTCTAATGGAGACAATAACGCATTTTTAAACATCGTAAGTTTTATTCAAATTTCAGATCACAAGTTTAGTAATTGATTTTAATCAATATGAAAATGATAAATGTAGTTGAACATAAAATAAACAGTCCATTACTAAAGTTCCCAAGTAATCGAGCAACCATAAAATATTGTTTGCTGTGTGTATAATGTTTTGTAAACAAACTTTTAAAGAAATATTAAAAAAGAAACACTAGAAAAAGTCAAACAAATAACAAAGTAATTACAAAATAAATGGAAAAGTAAAAAAAGGTAATAAGAAAAATATGATTGTATTTGAAAGGAAACGACAACACGATGTGTTGGTTCAACAACAAGAATACAACATGCAAGAGTCATCCAAAAAGAAGTTACAAGACTTTTATTAACCGCTCGAGAGAATCTCCTCAACGACCTGGCAGATCTTGCTCAACTATTGCCGTCATGGGAACAACGAGATCTTGAGATCGCTGAGAGAAAACATAAGGAAGCCACAAAACTGATAGATTCTGAAGAAGTAGATATTGCTCAACTTTGTGCACAAAATATTGTGCTTTGGAATATTTTCTTAGAAGCATTTACGAGACAAGAGGCTGTTCATCAACATTTAGCCAGAATCCATCATCAATTAAGGGCAAGTATCTTCTTCTCTTAATACATTTAACCTACTAATTGAGGGTAATTAATAATTTTTTTTGAATATTCATGTTTTTAAAAAATAGGTAAAACGTTTTGCCGAAGGATTTTTTGTATTGGAAAATCCCAGAACATCCGCAGCTGGTTGCTATGATGCCAATTATCAATCTTATCAGGCAGTAAGTGAAGCCGCACGACGATCACGTTACCTAGCATCACTTCCTCCTCTTCCAGTTCATTGTCCCGAACTAGATGGAGATCTTAACACGTTGCCACTCATTTTTGAGGACCAGTATGCCGATATGCAACTGAGACATCGAAATAGTGGTAAATAAATCAATTTTTAAAATTTAAAAACAAAAAATGCCACGAATAAAAATATTTATTTTCTCGAAAAATATTTAATTCATTGATAACTTGAAGAATTATTAGTAACTATTCATAAATTAATCCATTGACTCTTACTATAAATTAAAGATTGCAGTTTTAATGATTAAAAAATAATTTTAAAAAATATTATTCAATTAACGAGCATCATTAAAATAAAATTACTAGAATGATTTACATCTTGTTCATAGTTCCTAGCATGGAAGACTGCAGCTGTGGTATGTCAGCAGTTTTAGAATCACGAACATCAAACGTATGGTCACCTAGAAGTGAAGGAGCTGCTCAAGACATCGCTTCGATCCAAGCTCGACTATCTCTAGCACCTTCATCGCTTCCTGCACGGCACAGTAAATCCTTAGACCAACTGGGACCAGAAATAGCACCCTTACAGCCACGAACATCCCCCAAAACATTACCAAGGTCCGCTTCAACGCAATTGTTTCCCCGACAAAGAATTGGAGGTAGAAATCCAACACCACCAACGCTTGTGCCATCTAAAGGACGATCTAGATCACAAGCACCACTTCTTACTGCCAGGAGCACAACACTGTTTCCTTCGGGTCAGCAGCAGGCTTTCTCCGCACCGAATCCGTCTCTAGGTTTCCTTTTTGCTGCTACTTTTAAGTTTATGCTTTCTGTGTGGCTTTTGTACTATTCTCATATTTTTTTCCAACTTTTTATCACCTCAGTAATAGCTTTAGAAATAGTTTTATCCATTTCTTTGTATCTAAGAATACCTTTTTTTAAATTTATTTCGAAATAAATTACTTTATAAATTTATAAATTTTTTAATATTAAATTATTTCATAAAAACTAAAAATAGATCATATCCTCTGAGGTGATAAAATGTCATAATAAAACGTGTCTTTATTTTCCAATCTTCTTACACAACACCTAAATAACATCATTTTTCATAACTATTATAGGATCAACTCCAGTAGCAACACTTCCACGAGCAAAGTCGACCCAAATGTTAGTTCCAGACTCTTGTCGGCAACATCACGATTTCGATGGACGATCATCAACATCAATAACATCACTTCTAGCAGCTATGTTCCCAGAATTACCACCAAATGGACACTTTCCTGGCTACAGACCAGCTAAATCTTGTGATCAATCTCTAAGTATTCCACCTTGCATTGGAACATTCGATTTAAACCAACTGTCTTCCACCTTTAGTACTAAAGAGAACCATTCATTAGACTCTAGAAGAATACGGCTAGAGCCTCGGAGCCATCGATTATTTTCTCGAGAAAGTGGTGAAAAATCATTTCATATGAAAAATGGTGACACTGATCCTCAAAACTTACGAACCGCAACTCTAGACCGAGTAACTTATCGTGGCAACCATCGCAAACATGGTCACATATCCGCAGGAAAGTGTCAAAATAATAGTACTGACTGTCGACGTTATCATACTTTAGGGAAAGCTACAGGAAGTCATCAAAATCGAGTGAAATCGGCAGATTTTTTAGACTCGGCAAATGGAATCGCTGAAATGGCTCAAAGTCACTCAATTTTAGTTGATCCTTTAAATAAAAGATTTTCCGGAGCTTATAATGGACTGACAGTTGATTCTTTCTTTTATCGGACGAATGGATCTAGTGGAAAAACTGCTGATTTTCGACCGAAAAGGCCAAAAAGTACTGAACGACTTTTCGATGTTGACCATTCAATGGATTGTTGTAAAGAATCTCAAGATATATATGAGAAAAAAATAACACGATGGCGTAATGAAGAAAAATCGAAAAAACATGAGAAAAAATCAGCAGAATCAACTCAAGAGCATCTGTATGAGGTCATAGCATTAACAATCGATTGTAAACCTGAAGAGCCAAAAAGAAGAGGACGTAGACCTCATTCAGCACCAGCGATGGATGGAGAAAAAAAAGAAGAACCAATTGGACAAGGTTCTAATGGAAAAAGATGCCAACATCGAACAAGAAAACCACCTCCTGCTCCTCCTCCGTATCAGGATATAGATAAGAAAGAAAAAGCAGGAATTTCAAAGCAAAAAAATTCCCAAAAACAAGGTCCAAATCAACGAATGAGTGTCCTTGAGAGGGAAAATAATCATAAAATAGCTCTTAAAGTTGAGGGAGTGGAGACTAATGGAGTATCTACGACATCTGACGAGTCTTCTCCAGGTGTTCCACTTCCTAATGCCAAAAGACTGAGATGTGCGAGTGTCCCTGTAGCTGATAACAAAATGGTAGTGCCTAGAAGTGCTGTTTCGTTGCCTTGTATGCCGATTAAAGATAGTAAAGAGACTCTTGGTGTTGATCTTGTTGCTACTGTTAGACCACCTAGTCCTCCTTCTACCAGACCTAGCAGTCCGGTTTCAAGTATAGACTCTGATAACCTTACTTCTGAGTGTTCGGGATGGGTTAGCAGTGGAGATACTTCTAGTTCTGAAAATAAACGGGCAGGTAAGTTACTTCAAATTAATTTTTTCATTGCAGTTTAAAACTATCGAGTCAATTTTTACTATTTAAATTAAATCGAATTTTTTTTTATATTCGTCTAAATTGATATTGAATTTCTCAATAGTTCAATTTTTATTCTAATAAAGTTTACTTGATAGTTCAATAATTTTGAAAAATTGACACTTTTATCGTAATAAATGATTGATAAATTTCATTCACTTACCTTATCTTATCAATTTATAAAATGCTTGGAAAAATATTTTAAATCTGATATTACTCACTTTCTAAATAATCAACAACGTTGAATGTAATGTAAATTTACTCTACATAATTTATAAGAGAAAATATTTAATATGAAAATACTAATAAAATGATAACTTTCAAAGCAATTTCACCTTATTTTCTATTGATCTTTAGATAATTAACAAATATTTAAAAAAAATAATTTATTATAACAATGTAATTATAGTTTAATTAGAACATTGTAGAAAAATACTTTATTTATTCTAACAAAACTTCAACCATCTTTCAATGAGTACACATAACGATTCTTAATGGTTGAACAAGTTTTTCTCGTCTAAGAAAAAAGTACATTTTTTGAAAACTCGAAAGCTTTTAATATAATTAAATACATTACTAAAATTGCTTACAATGAAAGGAAATAGATATTAGAAATAATTACTTTTATTATTATCTAGTGCTAATTGTTGATGTTTTAGTGATGATTTTCTTTTATGTGATTTAGGTGAGAAAATCAAGTCAAATAAAGTCCCATTGAGAAAAGATAAAAAGGATCAAACAAAAAACGAACTAACTGAAAATTCTTACGAAGAAGTAAGACTACCACCACCAAAGATGTTTCAAGATGAACCACCACCTCCTGAGGCATTCAGAGATCCAGCGCCAGTTCCAATGGTAGACAATCCGCTGTATCACGTTTATGAGACAGTGAAAAGAGCCAAGAGTCCAAAACAAAATAAAACTGCACCTTGTAGTCCCCAGAGAAGTCGTGAAAGAATTGAAAGAGAGCGAGAAAATGTCTATGGCACTCGAGACTTTTGTCTTGACTGTTATCAAGAAGGTAAGGAACTGCTCCAATCTACCCAAGATGATGCGATAAATTTCAAGAAATGTAAAGAAGAATTCAAAAGACAAATGAATTTTCCTGGAAAAATTTACAGGTGTGTTTTTGTTTATGTTATCATTATTTTAAAAATTTCTTCTGGATCAATACTCAATTTTAATTTCAAGTATTTGCTATCTTTTTTAATGAATCAAATTTAAATATGATATTTTTTTTCATTTCTATCACTTTTTCTTAAAAAAAGAACTCCATTTATTAATGAACCAATTGACTAATTAATTAAGATTGACATAATGACTCTCAATCAAACTACAGTGACTATCCAAACGTTGCGAGCAGTCTACCTTACTTCTACATCAGCGACGAATACAGATTATTCTCTCCTGAAGGCCCACACCTCATTATTTGCGTTCACGGACTGGATGGTAATGCAGCTGATCTGAGACTCGTTAAAACGTATTTGGAACTAGGTTTACCAGGCGCACATTTAGACTTTTTAATGTCAGAAAGGAACCAGGTAAATACTTTTCAAAGAAATTATTTTATATTTGATTGTAATTTTAAATAATCATTAACTAAAAAATAATTACTTGAAAATTTTTCAACTTTACTGCCATCAGTCGAGGTCAAAAGTCTAATTAATTGATTTCAATTAATCTTCTAGATATTTTGATACAAAAAAATTAATGTCACATCAGAAGTTGATCTTTTTATACTTTTATCTATTAACGTAAAATATTTAGCTAGTCAACTTGTCATTTTTTAATTTCAAATTAAACGTTTTTCTCCAACATCATCATTTATCTCTTCATTATATTTATTTTGACCTCGTTCATCTTATCTCCGAAAACTATTTTCAGGGCGATACTTTTTCTGACTTTGACACTATGACTGATCGACTAGTAGAGGAAATTCTTCACCACATTGACACATCAGGACTCAACCCAACAAAAGTCAGTTTCATCGGCCACTCACTGGGGACCATAATAATTCGCAGTGCTCTGACAAGACCACAACTGAGGCCATTGTTATCAAGACTTCACACTTTCCTCAGTCTAAGTGGACCACATCTAGGAACTTTGTATAATACAAGTGGCCTCGTCAATGCTGGTAACTATAACATAGTCTGTATTTTATCAGTTTCAATTGTTCTCAAAGAAGTTCAGGCATTTACTGTTGAAGCACAAATACCACAAAATTCTCAGAAATTTCATGACATCTCTGGATGAAATTAGATAAAACTTATTCCACTAATTTAATAATTAAATATTGAATGTTTGAATAAAGTAGACATTTTAAGGCTTATTGAAAAATTTTGTTTTTTAATAAAAGAAGATTATTCAGTTGTTGAAAATTTCATTTGAATAGCAAATGGTTTTTAGTGTTATTACATTACTGCAATAAATAGAGTACTCGTGAAAATGGCAATATAATTTATTCAATCATTTGAATTCAGTTTCATTGAATTAAACTCATAACCAATCCAATTTCGATTCATAATGTAATGATTTATTTTTAAAAATTGCAACGTTCGACAGAAAAAAAAGTCTTAAAAAATATTTCATCATAATTTGATTGTTAAAAGAAATGAGTAAATTGTAAAATATTAACGTTAAAACAAATTCATTATTCAAAAACTTGAAATATTCCTTTCTTTTCTAATATTCATTGTATTCTCAATCCTAGGTATGTGGTTTATGCAAAAATGGAAAAAGTCTGGATCTCTGCTCCAGCTAGCAATGAAAGATTCATCAGACGTCAGGAGATCTTTCATGTTTCGATTAAGCCAGAAGAGCAATCTCCAGAGGTTTAAGCATGTTCTACTTTGTGGAAGTGCTCAGGACAGATACGTTCCACTTCATTCAGCCAGAATCGAACTTTGCAAAGCTGCGGTTCGAGACCCCACTGACCAAGGTATGCTTTTTAATCTAAAAACCACTGTTTTACATCTCTATATATTTAATTTACTCTAGTGCAGTGTCATTAATAAATAAATCTTTAACAGGTACTGCATACAGAGAGATGGTACACAATGTACTTTATCCTATAATGTCTACTCAAGGTGTTACTCTAGTCCGGTATGACGTACATCATGCTCTACCACCAACAGCGAACGCTTTAATCGGTCGCGCCGCTCACATTGCCGTCCTCGACTCAGAACTTTTTATTGAGAAGTTTCTTCTCGTCGCAGGACTCAAGTACTTTAGATAAAAAATAAAAAAAAATTTAAATAAAGCAACAAAAAGATTGACACAATACAAGAAAATATACCAAGAGATAAAATATAATTAAATTTATTAATTTATTAAATGAGATTAATAAATTAATGATGATTATTCTAATAATAATTAATTATTATAGTATCTAAAACCAAAACCTATCAGACAAATATGATGTCATTTTTTATAATTTTTTTTCTATTACTCTATGTGTAGATCTCGTGTTATTGACTTGAAGAATTTTTTCATCGAAAATCTAATATCGAATTTTATGAAAAGAATTACAAAATAAATTTAGATGTAAATTTTATCATTCTTTCTATTAAAATATTGAAAAAACAAAACTGAACAATACGTAAGATTGTTGACTATTTATTTTATATTTAAGAAAAAAAACATGTAAAAAAATTTGTTTGGATTATTTATTTATTAAAAAGTATTTAAATGAGCTTATGATGATTTGGCAATGATTGTAATTATATATAATTATTTAATCAAAATTGTAAAAAAAAAAAAAATGTTAGTTTTATTTATTATACATAATTAATGAAATTGAATATTTCATGAGAGTGCCCTTGGCCTAATCAAAACAATTCATTCATCGAATAAAAAATCATTTCGAAGATATTTATTAATAAATCAAATTTCAAAAATTCAACGTTTAATATCATCTCTCGTTAGATTGATTGTTAATATTTAAACTAACTGACTGATTTATAAATGAAAACGATTTAATAAAATAAATCTAAGTTTTATGAATGATTTAAAAAAATTACCATAATTAGGAAAATTATATAATATAAATAATGCTTAATTTTAAAAGTTAAGCATGAAAAAATTATATTATTTCCAAAGTAAAAAAAATGAAAAATTTTTCGAAAAAATTAGTAGACGCAATAAAATTTAACATACGCCGTCGTGTAATTAGGAAAGTCATGAAACGTATGTCAATTGTATCCCTCAGAAAAATACGTATGTGTGTGTGTTGTAATGAGAGATGAATTGTGAGTTGAAACATAATAAAAATTTTAACAAAATTAAATGAAATAAAATTTATTAATAAAGCAAAAAGGGAAATTAAATTTAAATTAATTGACAAATTCGTTCCAGATTTTACGGTGAGTCCCTCCAAATAGATCTCAATTGCTCAGAACAATTTAGTATATTTATTAGTAAAGTCGAGAAAGAGAAATAAGAACGGTTCTACTAATTCACTCGACAATTTCATTACCAATTTGAAAACTTGTAATAAATATATACGACAGGCAGTTTTCTTACTAACTAATTATTGAGAATGTTATTAATTTCGAAAAAAAAGCTGCAATCGAAATAATTTTTAAAATCATTCTAAGGGCTTTTAGACCGCTCAAAATGTTCATTATCAACCGAATTACCAAAGAAACAAAAGCTTAATTAACTAAAGACTTAGATATTTGACTAAATGAAAGATTATGTGACGTTAATTAAAACAAAAATCGGTATCTTTCTTATCGTCGTCCTATTGTTTGCTCAAATATAAATCATCAAACTTATGAGATTAAAGAAACTGAATAAAAGAATAAATATAAATGTTTTAAAAATAGAAAAAAAAGTGTCATAATTATTAGCTTGTGAATTATCATTAAACTTTAATTGAAAAATAAATCTTTGTAATACTTATATTAATTATATGAAGATAATTCGAAGGGACTTTTATCGAAATCCAAAGGAACGATAAATATGAAAAATTTAAAAAATTACATATACATATATGAATATAATGAATGTTACATAGATATGAAGAATTTAGAAGACGGATTAAATAAATAGAAGGGGCGCGAGTCATAAAAAAAATTAACACCAATAAAAAATTATGAACTATTATACAAAATAAAAAATGAAAAATTGCTGAATTATTAAAGAAGAATGTAAAAATATATGATGCATAAACGTACATGTGAAATAGTTGAATAAAAATTATAATTATTATTACTATAATTTAGTGTTATTATTTATTTCCATTAAAATAAATCTATCTATTTATTTGTCTATAAATTGAATATATTCATCAAGAATACATTTCACTTCCAAGTTTATTTTTTCTAAACCGATAAATTCATTCAAAAAAGCTATCGTTCTCCAATTCCTTTAAAGACGTCAATACAGAGTATATTTTTTGATAACTCAAATAAATTTTTCCTCTCAAAAAATATTTCCAATGTCATTCGATTCTTTCAATAAATATTTCTTTCATTTCACTTCTTTTTATATCAATTTTTTTTATCAGTTTTACTGCCTTCAGGGATGAATTGAAGTATCAGTGAACGTATGACGAGGGCAACGTGCATCCTTCCATCCTGCAATAGTTATGCCTGAAATTGCTCTGTGTTTGGTATTACCCCACTTCCACCTAAAGATGAATAGCAGCTTAATGAAAGCTGTGGGTATTACGATGCAACCGAGTAAATTATTTAATGAGGCATTGGGCATATGGGCCACTTTCATGCCTCGTTTAGTCTTTAAATAAATTCGACAAATTGTTTAAATGACCGTTTAAATCCCCCTCATGCCCAGGTTAAGCAGACTGTTTTAACCACCCCTTACTTTCAGGACAAGGTGAGTTGTATTTATGATATTGGGGTTGTTTTTAGATACATTCCTAACATCAACATCCATATTAATATTCTGCTTACATTTGACATTTAGAATTTCACTGGTAACAGATTGAAAAACCATCTGGGGTTTGACAAATAGATTAAATAAGTTTGAAAGTTGAACTTGCATCATATTTTGATGCTTTAATATTAAACTTTTGATCTGAATTATTTTCATATTGTATTTAGAAATGTATAAGTAAAGAAAATTGATAAGTTTATTTTTCCAGGTATACCATATAATATTCATGAAGTTTATGATATTATTTTTTGGCTTACGATAGCTAATCCTGAATAGATGGACGCCACATAGATATTCAAATTCGTGGAGGTAGATTTAGTGGAAATTTTAAGCCAAGAAAATTATCTCTATCTCAACTTTGCATGCAGATATTGGTTGGAGGCTAGATGAAGTTGGGTATCGAGCTTTTATGAACATGATAAATGAAAATTTGCTTGGTAAAAAGAATATTGAGATAAAATATATGAAATAATTTATGGATTGTTAGATTTTAAAATGTGTGTTTATTTGTATTTCGACTGTTATTTATTGTACCTATTCCACTATTTATTCTTCTTGAAAGAAACTCTTTTTATTTTAACGTTAATTTTACAATATAAATGGAGCTTGAAGCCATTCATATCATTTTTACATTTTTTTTTTTTATCTCAATTTATTTCTTATTCGAAAATGTACTTCTTTATGCATAACTTTTTAACATAAATTTTTATTTGGCTTTATAAAATAAAATATCAAGATTAAAAAAAAGTCTTTGATCGTTTTATACTCAACAATAATTAGGAATAATTATCATAATTATTAAATAAAATCAATGCTTTCAACTTGTTTTAAAACAAGATTTTAAATAATTTTAAAAATTAAATGATGCAATTTAATCATTATGAATTATTTATAAATCCAAGTCATTCTCATACCCTTTTATCACCCTTGTCTCTCCCTTTTCTATTAATACATTTTTTACCCTATTACAAATTATTTTATGTTACCAGTGAACATTACAAGTAATAAATAAGTATTTTATCAGACTATCTCATATCTTTTACCCTCTACTTTTCCTATACTTTCACTGATCTATTTTTATTCCTTTTCTTTCAAGAGATTTGAAAGATTCTCAAGATTCTTTCAAAGTCTCACGGAAGTAACTAGAGCAAAGAAAAAAAAAAGAACAAGAAGGGGAGAGAATTAAGAATGAAACTACCGCATACTTGAAGGAATCAGTGAGAGATCTTTTTAGCTTCCTGTTTCTCCAATGACGTGCAGATGCGTTTGTCCCGCACGTGCCTATCTGAAAGCCACCATGACGACATTCTCCCTTACTCTTCGATATCCCAATGGGGAGGGATGCCATAGACGTGGAACATTGACGACATACACAACAAATGCATAATACCAGACGCCTGGAATTTCATAACAATGCTATATCCCACGTAAATGTGTGTAGACCACGAACTTGATCGTGCATCAAAGAATAGATGCATCAGAAACATTCCCCTCTCCCTTCACACCCTCCTCATTTTTCATCACCACTAAAGAAAGAAATATTGGAGAAAGACATATATACTCTTTTTGGAATGAAAAGATTTAAAGACGAAAATGGAAGATGTTACGCATTTAAAAATTAAAAGAGAAAAAAATCATTGACAAATATTTAGGGCGAATGAACTATTTTTGGAAATTACGTTGGAATTGAGAGAAAATTATTTTGTTGACTGCAAGGAATATTTAGTGGGCTATAAATTAAATGTTCCATCAGATGGAGATTATAAAAAGTTGATTCCAAACGACATAAATAAATAATGATGGTAATTAAAAAGTAATTAATATACTTTTTAAATCGTTGAAATAAAAAAGTATTTAGATGAATTTATGAGAAGAATTATTCGTTAAAGCTTAATAACTATCAAACATTTGTATCTTCTTCCATATATTAATAATATATTTTTATATTCTGTATACTTTTATTGCTGCTTTAAATTTGTGTAGAAAAAAAAATTTTTTCGTCATGAGAAAATGTAAAGTTGAATTTTTTAGTTTTATAAAAAAAAAGTTTAGTTTTATTTCTATTACCACTTAAACTTAAAATCTCATGTTTTTCTTTGTTTAAAAAATTCTTTTTTAAATTCTCTTTTTTCCCAGAGAATAATTCTACTTAAAAAGTACATCTTCTTTTCACCATTATGACTTTGTTAGTATAAACCAATTTTCGATAAATTGTCTCTTTGTTATTTCATCTCCCCTCTATTCGATCTCTTATTTATTATCTAAAGAAAATTTATCTGAATAATAAGACGTAATTTTCTTCCATCACAAAAAAAAAAACATTTCCATCTTTATGTTTTCATTTTTTTTTTTTTTTTAATATCATAAATATTCATATAAATATTGATGCAATATTAAAATTTTCTTCATCTAAAGAAAACATTTTAAATAATTTATCATGGTCCTCACTAAATTATACACAAGAAAAATAAATTTATAATAATATTTAGAAATATTGAAATTTTAATAAATAATATAACGAATAGAATAAATTAATTAGAGCTAGAAATGTAGCTGTGCAGCTTTAATCTACCCTTCCAAATGCTTCCTATCTTCACGACAGTTCAACTGAGCAGAATTCTCACTGTTCCGGAAGAATAATCGTAAGAATAAATTTCAAAGCAGTATAATAACACCAACAATAATAATAATAATATTAACAACATAAGAGGGTGCAAACTACCTTAAAATTTAGAAATCTAATGTTATTTTCTCTTTCCCTTTATTTTACTTTTCGACATTTTTTCTTTATCCTTCAACTCCACCATATTCTCTATCTTTGTCTCCGTCACCCTCTTTTGCATGGGGGTCGTTTGATCGTAGAGTCCTCGCGGGTGAATTTGCCACGCACGTGCCCATCAGGCTTGTACACAATATTGGTGTACACTCCGACATTGTATGCAGGGGCTTCTCTTCATATGCTGTAAACGCGATACGAGTGTTATAACCAAAACGTGTATGCTTACACTGACATTTGGAGCTCAACCATCGTCACGAGCGAACGCACTAGTCTTTTTCCCCTTCTAATATTTTTCTTTTAAGTAAATATTCTTCGTCTCTTGAATTTTGAATATTTTTCTTTAAACAAAAGCAGATAAATTTAATTTTTATTTTACAAAATTACCATTTTTATAAACATTTATTATTAATTTTTAATTATTAAGTGATAATAATAATTATAAAAATGATTGTTTACAGTTTGTGTAAGTGAAAATAGAATTTTTAATACATAGGAATAAAATCATTGGTAAAATCTAGTGATGACAGTTTTTTTTTCCATTAGTTTACAGTGCTGTGTAAGTAATAAAAGTGATGGTGATAAGTGTTAACAGTGGGCAATTGTAAAAAAAAATATCGGTGACTGAGAACTAGAGTATCGGCAGCCAATGAAATTTTATCTAGATGAAGCCGGACTACAATCTGGTAATTTTTAAATCCCAAGTAGAATACCTTATACATATTTAGAAAAAAAAAAAAAATAAACTATTCAAGATAAGGAAATACATGTGTTATGTTCAAAGATTGAATTGAAATCATAACTTGATTAAAAAAAAAAATTAGCCTTGAATAATATTCAACATTTCCTCTTGTTGATTTGGAGTACACTCATAAAGTATATAAACTACAAGTCATTTTTATTGAAGGATTTTATTTAATTTATGTTGGTAAATTACTTGAGTTTACATCCACAATAGTTGAGTAATTTGAAAACTTTTTTAATTTTCTTCATATATAATATACGGTATTATGTTGGCTATTATTTATGATGTACAATAATCTTAAGATATTAGATGTTGAAGTAAAACAACTTGTGATGAAAAAACTTTAATTTACAAGAAGAAATATTTATTTATTATATAAAAATAAGCTGATCTTACTGGCAAGTATTGGATAATAATTAGTGTTAACACCAGAAGCTACATAATGAAGGAATTGGGATGAAGCGCACATTGGCATCAAGCCATAAAAACTACTGATTATTTGTTATCACGTCATTAACATCAAGCCCAAGTCATCGCGGATTATTTCCATCTTCAACACATGAAAATAATAAACAAACAAAATGAGGAAATAAATTGGTTACTTTATTTTTAACTGATTTTCTTTTAAGAAGAGAAATATTGATAAGAATACTTTGAGACCATCTTCTTAGTGAATTAAAGCTCTTGAGAGTACGTAATGGAGCTCGAGAACAGAGTACCTGGTTTTTCTAGTGCCTCTTTCGATCTCTAAAATTAATTTAAAATCATCAATACCACGAGTGCTTGGAAGACTTTGAAGAAAAATATTCTGTGATGATTAGACATGCAACCCGGAAGGTGTTCAGCAACAACAGTGTTGTTAATATTTATTTTTCTGTGTATTAATAATATTTATGGAAAAACAACACGAGTTTCAAAACCTGTACGTATACCAGGAAGTTACATCGAAGTTGTTGAAGAAGTCACGTGTTCAGAGGGAGTTATAAGACTGACTTGTCGTTCATTAAGAGCTTTTCTATTTATTCTTGAAGCTCAGTATTACCGCAATGAGGCGGAAAATTGTTATGAAGTAACAAAAGTCAAACGAGCTATACGCCACAAAGAATATTGGTCGAGATATCGAGGAAATACTACTGTCGAGTTGAAGGGAAATTATATACATGGTGATGATGAACACAAACCAGTTGTTGACTTGAGAACTTCTTTTAATAGAAGGTAAATTATTTATTATTCATATTTACATTTTTATTATCAATTATAAAAATCAATAAAATTCATCAAATTTATTTTTAAAAAAATATTCAATATCAATTACTTATAATAAATAATCACTTTTGGTGCAGCAGAATTCTTGTGCCAATTAATCAATGCATAAATGGGATCATTTAATAAAAAAAAAACTATATCGAATTGGATTATCTCCAGGGTCACCGATTATTTGTAGATAGTTATATTACGTAAAGTCACTGTGATAAATTTGCTTGGTCATCAAATCAGAAAAATCATTTATTTATACAATTTTTTTTCATTTATTTTTTTTCTAATACCAGGATAGTTTTAGATTGATGATAACAAATCAAACTCTACTTTAATATATCTGAATCAAAATCATCTAATTGATTTTATTATTGTATACTACAAAATTTATTCAGCTGAATCAATTTTCCAAGACTTATTAAAAATTCCTTGGAGATCAGAATATTTGGGATCAAATATTTCAGAAATTTATTACTGTCTCAATGAGTTAGGCATATAATTAGCTAGGTTCATGGACTTATTAAATAACTGATTATCAAAATCTAACTATGATTAATAATAAAAATGAGCATTATTAAAATCAATACTATAAAATGAAATGAAGTAATACGAGAAACCATGACATTTTTTTATTATTTATGATATCAAATGACTCTTATTGCAAAAAATGAAATGAAAAAACAATTTACCACAAAAATGTCATGAAATAAATAAGATCTTGTTATAAGAATAAAAGTTAGTAATTAAAGACGAGTGAAAAGGCAGATGTGTGGTTGAAAATGATTATATTGAATATAGCATAGCAGCCATCAACTAGGGAGAGAGATTATTCCAAGGGGGGATTTGAGTACAACAAAGCGTTGATCCCTAAATCACGTCCTACCATTTTCACTATACGTATGTATTCCTAGCATAGTACACTAGGATTACTTGACGTAAACTTGAAAATATTTTCCAGACTAAGCATCTGCAACGTGTTTCCTTGGGGAATAGTATTATTTATTCCAACTTTAAATTATTTACGCTTTCATTCTTTTTTATTTTATTCTCACATTTTTCTCTCATGGCAAGCCTTCAAATGAGAATTTAATATCAACTCAAAGAACAAAAAAAATAGCAGAGATTTTTTGTTTTGATGTTGATCAAACAATTGGCTCATGATATAGAAGCACAATGATCATTTCAGCATTGAATAAATATGAGAATGAAAAAAACAATTCTAACCAATCTAATTAATGTGAATATTTATTTAGCATTTAAATGAAAAATAGATGAAGAAATAAAAAATGTTGGTTAATGTTGGAAGTGGTTTCGAAAAAATTATTTGCACTAGAGAGAATATTGAAAAAAAACTAAAAATAAATTTGGTAACAACCCCTGAAATATAAAAAGAGGGTAAAACCACTGTTCTTATCCATCAGCAAAATCGTGAGAGCTGTCGATTCCCTACAATAATTTATACGTCATACTCAAATGAACAAAGTATAATTATATTATATATACAATTTTTTTTCGCAATCCCCCTATTAGATTTTCATATCCTTTCTCTAGTCCATGCGCCCTTGACACGATGCAAGTGATTAAAAGTGAACGACGAACAAAGCCATTAGATTTCGATGCAAATGAGTAACGATTTTCATTTGAATTCATCCATTAATTAAAATTCTTCCTGGACTAAGAAATAATAGATTTATCCCCAGGATTAATTATTATTGATTAATTTTTGCTCATGCTTTTTTTATTTCTTATTTCAAGGTGTTCTGGTCATCATCACTGTCGTTTCAACATCTCTGAGGACCATCCAGGCCCATCGAGATGGCAGCCAGCTAATTTACGGCTTAAGTACGCCTGTATACTTGGTAATAATAACAATTATTCCCGCTTCATTAATTTATTATTAATTAGTTAATAAATTTAAACATTTAAAATAATTAAATAAATGATAAATATGATGTAAATATGCTTATAATTCTTAGAATGCAAAATTCAGATAATTTATAACTGTCCCATTAAAATTCGTTCCCTTTTAATGATCGTTATGTTTGCTATTTATTAGTTACTTAGCTTGCATGAGTATGATTCGTATCACTAGACTGTCACAGTCAACCAGACCACAACTGCAGCTTGCATTAGACAATTTATAAACACAAATTTAAAAAAAAAGCCAACAAGCGAGGAGATTAAAATCATAATTCAAAGGCAGCTGATAGTTTTATTCTACTCTACAGGCAGCTTACAGTTAAACCTGGGGTTAATGTCACCTTTTTTATAGCTGGGTCAGTGAACTTGACTTGATAATAAATTACAATCGACATAAACATTTTTTGTATTACAATCGTTGCCATTTATTTTCCATCATCTCTACCTTGATTTATTTTATTTTTTTGTTATTTAAAAAATATTAGAGCTTTACTGATCCCTAAAATGAAGCTTAAACAGGAGATATATTGTTTCAAGTGATTGTGAAAATTCATCCCCATGAAATAAAAAATAATCGTATTTCAAATGTGCTATAAAATAAATAAAAGAGGTAAAAAAAAGTACACAATAAAGCACAACCTGTATGCATCACCCTTTGTAACAAATAACATAAAATCAATCGATAGAGCATTAATACACAATACCAGAAGGAAATTTGAAAGCAAATGTGAGGTGGATATTTTTTGTGACTGACCTGCAAGCTATTGCCACCCCTGATGTTGAGCTCCATCCCCACATCTGCTCACTCTCAGCAATCCCGGGGTGAGTCACTGATCGAAACTCGGCCAAGGGCAACTTTCCTAGCGATTTGTGACTGATAATCCAACCCCTTCAACCTGGAAATTAAACAAATATTATTTACAGATGGCACCTATTTTAAAATATAAATATTGTTGGCTTATTTATTTTATTTTATAAATATTCAGTTGAATTAAATCAGTTAAAATTAATTATTTATAAACACTAAACTTATTCCAAAAGTACTACTAGTAAGTAACACTTCAAAGTATTTGTCAAAGAAGAATTTAAATTTTAGAGACAATAAAAGAAAGTAGCAAAGATGGAGTAGTCTAGTTTCTAGAAGTAAATTAATTCAACAAAACATCATTATTAAAATTAGCAAAGTTTTCATATTTTACTTTAACATAAGTATTTAACCGGTAAAGTTTGAACAAAATTCATATTTAAACTTTTAATATGCAAAAAAACATGATATTAAATGATTGTTTAGAAACGGCAGTAAGAAAATATTGCAACACTGAAGTGAAATTAAACAATAATGAAGGAGGATACATCAAGACACCAGGGTATCCACTCTATTATCCTGGAGAGTATGCCTGCGTCTGGACTTTCCAAACAATTCCAGGTCAGCGGGTTTCATTACAGTTCCATGACTTTAATATACGCAGTAAGTAAACTTTAATGAAAATTTGACTTTTACAATCTAGACCGAACAGTCGCGAGGCTTGACTATCAGCTATTTTAATTATTATTTTATTTGAAGGTCCTGAATCCAATGGAAATTGTGTTGACGTAGTGAGAATTCGAGAAAATGGCAAAACATTGTTTGAATCATGTGGAACACGTGCTGGAACAAGAATTATTTCTGAGTCAAATAAAATCACTTTAGATCTCATGTCTGCTTCCAAAGTATTTCCTGCTAGAGGACTTTTGCTTCAATATCAAGGTACTTTTTTTATTTATTATTTTTACATTTTTCAAATACTCTAAACTTTTTTATAAATTTCCTTTGAACCTTTTATTCATTTGTAAAATAATTTAACTCATTATAGCTTTTTAACGCTGATTGGTAGAGTGATTGTTACTTTCCTATCTAAAGTTATAAAAAACTTTTATAATTAGTTTTAAAACATTACTCTAGTGCAGAGTGCACAATGGTGTGGAAAAAGAGTCAAATGAATGCTTTCTAAACTTTTTTTTCAATATATGGAGTTCAAATAAGAATATTAGAAGAAAGTTTTCATGACATCATTCGGTTCAATAGCAAACCATTAAAACTGAAGGAAAGAAAATAAAAATTCTATTGTATTCCCTATATTGATACAACCATTTTTAATTTAACTTTATTATTTTTAAATTATTCTAAATACTGAAATAATTGATTTTATTATGGATAATTCCAGCTATTGGTTGTCCTGCTATCCAAACACCAAATGGAAGCTTCATCTCCAATGACACTTTTAGCTCTAGAACTTTTGAGTGTCGTTCTGGAACAGTCTTTCCCGATACTATGCAGTCAACAAGAACTCTGGACTGTCAAAAAGGACATTGGAACGAGAGTATTGATAATCTACCCAATTGTGTTGGTAATAACCTTTTAATATATTATAAATTATGGGTAGTAATTGGTAGAAATCAATCATTACGTCAAGTCTGTTTTAAATTTTGTTCAACACTTCTTCAAGTAAGTCAAAAAATAACTTTTACCAGTTTTCAACTGTTTCTTTTAAAAAATCTTAATCATTTTCTAGTTAGATTCTTACCTAATCTGAATTGCCTATAAGAGTTTTCCAACATTACTTTAAGCATCAATATGTATTATTCTGATTACCAATTTATTCATTACAATTAATATCTTTCATTGAAATCAACTATTTTTACCAGAAATTTTTCATTGAACGACAGCAATCATTTTCATCCAACCTCTGATTTAAATAACATTTAAATTTTAAATAACGTGAGTTCAGATAATTTGTTAATATTCTCCTGAGACAGGATAGACTCGAGTCCATTAACTTAATAAACAAAACATTCCACTAGGGAATTTTCAAATAAAGTACATGCTAATTTTATAATAAAACTATGTACATCAATGTATTCATATTTTCATAATTAAAAAAATTATTTTTCTATTTTTAACATAAAAAAAAAATCAATTTATTAGCACTTTTATGAAGCAATAATTATTTTACAGTTCTTTAATATTCTAATATAATCATTTTTTCTAATGTATTATAATAAATTAAGATTGCAATCATGATTATTATACCTACGACAATCATTTAATTGTATTATGATTAATGATAAATTCTTGTTTAAATAGAAATTCCTCCCACAAGAAACACTAGCTCATTATCATTTCATTTACTTAAGTAGTAAGTTGATGCTGATACCAAATATTATCAAAAATAAGTCTATTTTCTGCTGATGAAAGAGTTTTTATTCTCCATGTAATTTAATTACTCTCTAGGCTCTTTGATCTTTTGAAAAAATATTCATCTGGTTTTTAAGAGCAAATAAGAAATAAAAAGTTCAGCATATGATAAATAAAAAACTAATAATAATAAATGAAAAATGAATGAACAAAATGAAGGATTTAAATAAAATAGGCCATCATATGTATAAATATAAAAACCTACAGTATAAATAATTGTAATAAATTCATAGTTTTACACTGATGATAGCAGTGATAATCGGGTTCGGTTAAAGTCAATTGACGGCCCTGAGATTTCCGCAGGGAACCCCGCGATCTCACTTATTTTTCAAAGGGGCAAGACAGGGAAGATGTGAATTCAGACTCGTGTGCGCATGGTAGGGATAGAAGGGAAGGTCCGCGTGGGGTAGAGTGCGTGTTCTTGAACACTTTTCTGATGACGCCAGTTGCCTTCATACAACGAACACGTGTGTCTAGTTTGCTAAATCCTTATCTGATACTTTTGCGATTCTGATCTACAGTTGTTCTTTCAAGGTTGGTTGTCCAATTATTTACTCCTTTCAATTGTAACAAATATTTCTTGCAATACCTTAACATTCAATTCTTCTTTCAATTATTAACTTATTTATTTATTTAATTAACAATTGATAAATACTGGTAATCATTGTCCGACTTATTTTTATTTAATCAATTAAATAATTATAATCAAATATTGCTGCCTATTTTCGACACATATTGATCGGAAATTTGTACTTTAATTTTATCTGAAGAAGTGTATTTTTAGCATCACAGATATTTTGAATTTTTCTAGAATAGAAGACGAAAGCTCTCGTTCAAATTCAGTCATTTTCAAAATGATATTAATGTGTTATACAAATTAACTTTAAATTATTATTAATATGACAACAAAGCCCACTCAATAAATATAATAATTGCCATTGGATGAATGAATTAAATAATTAAATAATTATTCCAATTAAAATAAACCAAACATATTGTATTTTTTCTTACTTAACCGTTAATTTCTTCACATTTTAATAATTATCATATTTTTCTTTTCCAACTGATGTTTTATTTATTAAATTCATTAAAAGAACATTTTAAAATATAAAATACTTTTTAAAACCTATTCAAGGTATTTAGAGTGTGAAAAATTGTCAAGCTAATACTGAAAAAATTTCCTTGTGTTTTTAATCAACAAAATGTAGAATTATTTACTCGTTAGAAGCACAAGCAAATTACTGAGTTCAATCTGCGAAAACCTGCGGAACAAGTCGTGCAGTTCTTCTTTTTGTTTCCTTTCTCTTCCATCAAATATTCTTACTCTTTCTCTCTTCTTCATTCTTTCGACTCCTTTTCAACATACAGCATCAGAAGACACAAAAAGACAAACTAGTTGTACATATTTCTTTTCATTATTTTTCTTTACTTCTCGTCGGTTCTCTTTTCCTACCAATTTCTATCTTAAAAATACATTGTCTTAATATCAAACAAAGCAGAAAATGATGCTAAATATTTCTCTTTTTGTCCCATCATCTTCGTCCTCTCGTAATTATCATTGCCATCAGATAGAAAAAATTATAAACATGCCAGAACTAACAAAACAGTAAAGTCTAGAAATTGAATGGAAAGATTTGAAAAGAAAGGGGTTTCTTTTAGTATTAAATGTACCTACATACATAACTGGCGCCAACTTTCCAATAATTTTTTACAACACAAGCATGGAAAGAATAAAGAAAAGACGAGACGAACAACGAAAAGAGAAGACTTTTCCTCCCTATGCTTGAACGAAGATTAAAAGAGAAGACTGCTGACTTTTTACCCCTCGTTTCTTTGTTGTCGAAGAAAAAATTTCATTAGAATTTAATAGTTTGCGTTATCATGTTATCACCACTATCATATACAAAGCCTTTTATTGAATTTTTCTACAAGCCAATATCTTGACATTTTTCACCTTTTAGAAATTTTTTCTTTGTCTGAAACATCTAGGAGATTTTTTTCCTCATATCATATTTATTAGAATTTTATAACTTTTTTTTTTTTTCATTACTGTTATTAAAAATTAATTATTAAAGTTCTATACTTTACAAAGCCATGTCCCGAGTCGAAAAATTTCGATGGGTTGTACATTGGTTACATTGCTTTTTAGAAATACAACCAATGTAAAAATAATTTAAATTAAATTTCATTTTCAATGTTTAAGATGACATTGCTTTAACATTTTATCCTTTGCATAATTCCCTTTTCTGTAGTAACAATGTCAATTCAATGTTATCAAGGAAAAGAAAGAAGCAATCTAAAAATGATGAAAGCAATGTAATCATAATACAATAAGAAAAATAAAAATAAATTTAGAACTACATTGGTATTGACGTTGGTTATATTGCTTTTTTTTATTTTTGGTGTTCCCTTTCCGGTCACCCATCCATCTATTTACCGGCCTAAATGTTGCTTGACTTGAAAATCGCGCGTACCGTTCGATTCCCACTGTGCTACATTGATTTATAATTTTTTTTTTTATTTTCTGTTAATAAACAGTTGAATTCTATGTACAACAGTTGAAATATTGTTAGTAATAAATTACCATTGTTACGAAATATTTAATAAAAAAATAGGTCTGAGCACACTTTGTCTGTGCTAACACGACGAACTTCCCATGAGTAATTGTTTATAACAAATTTAAATAGTTGTAATCAATGTTTGTTGAAAACATCCAAATACATGTGATATACACATTACTTATTCAATAAATACAATTTTCAGTTGTTTATAACAAATTCATTTTGTTATAAACAATGCGTAATTGTTAAGAGTCATATTTGGTTGTGAACAATAATGTCTAGTCAATGTTGACTTCATTTTCAAATAAAATTGTTATTTTTCCGCTTAAAAGTATTTTAAATAGTTCATCTTTTCATTTATTCGTTAATAGTTTTTTTGTTATAAAAAAAACGGCTTAACCGAATTTGTTCAAATTTCTTTCAGATCTTCTCTAAAATAATATCTTTCGAATAAATTTTAGTTGAAGTTGATATTTCAATCCATTCTTGAGATATCGAAAACGAAAAAAATGCTGACGTCTGTACAGACATACGTACGTACGTACACACACGCATCATTCTAAAAATTGGTCAGTATGCTTGCAAATATCATGAAACGTGGAGATATGATGAAAATTCAAATTCCACCAACCGACCCAATTTCAATAACTTCCTAATGGGAAGTTAATAAAAATGAAAACAATAATCATCCCTTAACGATGTTCTTTTTTGACATTGATTATATCACTAGAAACTATTATCAATGTAACCAATATAAACTCAAGATTCACACATGAAATGTTTTATAATTCTTCTTCTACATTGGTAACATTGCTTCATATTTTTTTAATATTAGTTATATTGCTCTAGATGATTAGTAATGTAACCAATGTCAACTCAAGATCTACATGTAAAACCTTAATAATCTTACTCTTACATTGCTAATATTGCCATATATTAATTTAACATTGCTTATACCATTTTCAATGTAAGAATGATTTTAGCAATGTAAAATAAAATTTTTTAGCAATGTATCCCATGTAAAAGTTATGTTATAACAATGTAATCAATGTAAGACCCATCGAAATTTTTCGACTCGGGGTGTAATAAGTGTCAAGTAACTCAAGAATGTTTACATTAATAAATTGAGTGTTATAGTAGATAGTGGGGAATGATAAAAGCAATGTAGAGTTCAAAGAGTTATCATCAAAAAACTCAAGCGTAAAAACTATTAATTCCTTCTCCTCCATTTCACATCACGCCACCCGATTCTCCAGGGAATAAATAAAGAAACAACGTGAGATAAATTCAGTTACTTGTTGATCATTTATGAGGTGGTGAACTATTTACCGTATTATTTGTAATTACGATAAATTTCCTAGTTATCGACAGTTTTGCCATTTATTTTCAATAATTCTTTCGCGTTATACCAATCTTATATCTGATCAATTAACTCTATATCATTGAAAGGTACCTTGTGTGAATTAATGAAAATTTATTGTCTGATTTTAAGACACTATGCTCCGAGTACAGCTTCAATAATTCGTTATTTTTTTTTGAGATTTACTTTTTTGAAATTAATAATTGAAGATGTTAGTGGATGAAGGTTATA